CCTGGCCAATAGAAACCATGGAAGTGAGACATGATTAGTGTTTGAGGCTCTAAGATTTGCTGTGATTTGTTTTGCAGCATTAGCGAATCAAAATTCCAGGTGAAGAAGGCAAGTAGAAAAGGGCATTTTGGGTAGAGGATGCAGTATAAACAAAGGCTGGGCAAGGAATCATGTGCATCAGGGGAGCAGTGGGAAGTGTAGTGTGGGCCATGGGAGGGCAGTGAGGGCACAATGGCTAGAGAATGCAGCAAAGTCTAAATTGTCATGGGCCATGAGTTCCATGGGATGAAGTTTATGTTTTGTCCTTTGAACACTGAAGATCCACAAAGGGTTTTATTCAGGAGATGAAAATAATCTGCTCAGATTGTTCAGGAATCTCACAGTGGTGACCACATTGGATAGGATAGTCCAGTGGAAGGAGTTACAGGGATCTGACTTTAGAGTTACAATGATTCAAGCAAAAGAACATGAAGCCGTGGCAGTTGGGGTAGGATAGTGGATGAAAATTTGGAATAAAAATCTATAAGATTTTGGCTAGGTGCAGTGGCTCATGCCTGCAATCCCAGTACTTTGGGAGGCCGAGGTGGAAGGATAACTTGAGCCCAGGAGCTCAAGACCAGCCTGGGCATTGTAGTGAGACCCCATCTCCACAGAAAATTTAAAAATCAGCCTGGCATGGTGGTACACGCCTGTAGTCCCAGCTACTCAGGAGGCTGAGTTGAAAGTATTTCTTGAGCCCAAGAGTTTGAGGCTGCAGTGGGCTGTAATCAGGCCTCTGCACTCCAGTCTGGGCAACAGAGTGGACCTGGTAACTTTCTGGACTGAAAGGTGAGGTGAGATGGAAGCAGGGGAGGTGAGATACAGAGGACCCCAGCTGGGACGCCATGAGGACTTGCAGTGTTCTTACTATTCATATTTTTATTTTGAAAATTTGTTTTTAGAAATAAATTATTTTTTTACTATTATTCTACGTAGTCAGTTTTCTCCCCATCAAAGCCAAAAAGTTAGGTATGCCTGGAAGTTAGAAGTTTAAATAGATCCCAGCTGCAGATGAAATAAGTGGAGTGGGAGGAAAAGTCATAGGACTTTGCACCAGAGATGATTTTGTTCAGGTGATTGCCCTAGGCAGTTTGAACTGATATCTGGAGGAAGGCTTTTGCTCGTGGAGTGGGGCCATCCCTCCAGACGCACCCATTTGCCTCCACCCATGTACATGTGGAAAGAAAGTTCCAGGCTCCCCTCCTTTTCCTCCCCTCCCTCTTGAGGATGCTGGATGAGGGGTGGTGGGGGTGGGCTGAACGGAGTGTGGGAAAGGATACGGGAGTCTCTGGGCAGTCACTGCGGAGTGCCCAGAGTCTGGGTTGGGTAATTGTTCCCCTTAGGTCATTGTGTTCAGGGTGCGGGGGGAGTCTCTCTGGAAAGAATGTGTTTCATTTGTGTCGGGTGGTGAGAGCCGCATTTCCACATTGGGACATTTCCTGGATGCAATGCCCTGGATGCATTGTCCACAAGCAGAAATGGAAGCAGCCAAGGCAGGAGGGAAGGGCCCAGGCAGCAACCAGAGCAGCAAGTGAGAGGCCAGAGGGAGCAGAAGCAAGTCCTGTGTAAGAGGTGGGCGGAGGCCTTGGCAATGTCGCAACTGCAAACTGGTGGAAGCTGAGCTCCCGGGTAGTATAACATACAGGTTTGTCCACACGTGGCCGCCTTGCGAGGACCCCAGTTCCCCAGTTGTCCTGGTTGTGAGGATCCTGAGACTCAGTGACTTGCTAACAATGACACAGGTGGCAGGAGGCAGAATCAGGATTCAAACTTACTTAAATGCCCCATAGGGTTTCTGCAGAAAACCTTCTAGAAAAGTCATTGTGAGGCTAGCAAAGCTTGTCTGCTGCATCCTATTTCTCTGTCACAGACAACTAAGAAGTTACAGTCCAAGAGGCTGGGTTTTGAGGGGTGGGAGAGGAAGGAAGCAAGATACTCTTGCTGGACAAAAACGAGTAAACTGTAGGTGACACCTGGATTTGAAGCGGGGACCTCTTGATGCTCTTCAACTGCTCTTCCACTGAGCTAAACCCTCTACAGTGTCAGGCTTCTCTCAGTGCTTTTTAAGGCCGCAGTCCCACGCCTCTTCTGATCTCCGGCTATTCCTGGGCTCTCACCTTTAGGGAACTGGTACTGGCAACATGGCTCCTTGCTGCCGCCACGACGCACTCACAGATTCCCTCCTATGCGTTACCAGCATCACCCACCTGCCCAGATGCTGCTCCCTCTATGGAGTCTCTCTCTGGGTCCACCTCCCTCTAGCTCCTGCCTTGTTGTCCCTTGGGCGAGGGCTGTCAGAGCGAGGCCTGGAGAGCTCTGCATCACCATTGCTCTCACCGTGCCTCAGGCCTGGGACACTGGGCCCAGGGAGCTCAAGGCCTCGCCCTGCCTCTACTGGGATTATGACTATGACTCCAGGAGAACCTGTCCCGGACACGCATTCTCCTCCCTTCCCTCATCAGCCTGACCCTCTTCTCTCTGCGGTTGCTGTTGTCCTTGTGTTGGCACTCCCTGCCCCTCCTCTATGCGGATTCTTATTCCTATTCCCATGCCGAAGACCGAAGACAGTGGGACTTGCCAGACTCCATAAGTTCATGAATCAACTCCTTAAAATTGATCTCGAGGTTCTCTTACATCGACCGCCTAAGAGTCGCGCTGTAAGAAGCAACAACTTCTCGTCTCCGCCATCTGCTCGGCAGCCGCGAAGCAGCAACCATGCGTGAGTGCATCTCCATCCATGTTGGCCAGGCTGGTGTCCAGATTGGCAATGCCTGCTGGGAGCTCTACTGCCTGGAACATGGCATCCAGCCCGATGGCCAGATGCCAAGTGACAAGACCATTGAGGGAGGAGATGACTCCTTCAACACCTTCTTCAGTGAGACGGGTGCTGGCAAGCATGTGCCCCGGGCAGTGTTTGTAGACCTGGAACCCACGGTCATTGATGAAGTTCGCACTGGCACCTACCGCCAGCTCTTCCACCCTGAACAGCTCATCACAGGCAAGGAAGATGCTGCCAATAACTATGCCCGAGGGCACTACACCATCGGCAAGGAGATCATTGACCTTGTGTTGGACTGAATTCGTAAACTGGTTGACCAGTGCACCGGTCTCCAGGGCTTCTTGGTTTTCCACAGCTTTGGTGGGGGAACTGGTTCTGGGTTCACCTCCCTGCTCATGGAACGGCTCTCAGTTGATTATGGCAAGAAGTCCAAGCTGGAGTTCTCCATCTACCCGGCGCCCCAGGTTTCCACAGCTGTAGTTGAGCCCTACAACTCCATCCTCACCACCCACACCACCCTGGAGCACTCTGATTGTGCCTTCATGGTAGACAATGAGGCCATCTATGACATCTGTCGTAGAAACCTCGATATTGAGCGCCCAACCTCCACTAACCTGAATAGATTAATAGGTCAAATTGTGTCCTCCATCACTGCTTCCCTGAGATTTGATGGAGCCCTGAATGTTGACCTGACAGAATTCCAGACCAACCTGGTGCCCTATCCTCGCATCCACTTCCCTCTGGCCACATATGCCCCTGTCATCTCTGCTGAGAAAGCCTACCATGAACAGCTTTCTGTAGCAGAGATCACCAATGCTTGCTTTGAGCCAGCCAACCAGATGGTGAAATGTGACCCTCGCCATGGTAAATACATGGCTTGCTGCCTGTTGTACCGTGGTGATGTGGTTCCCAAAGATGTCAATGCTGCCATCGCCACAATCAAGACCAAGTGTACCATCCAGTTTGTGGATTGGTGCCCCACTGGCTTCAAGGTTGGCATCAACTACCAGCCTCCCACTGTGGTGCCTGGTGGAGACCTGGCCAAGGTACAGAGAGCTGTGTGCATGCTGAGCAACACCACAGCCATTGCTGAGGCCTGGGCTCGCCTGGACCACAAGTTTGACCTGATGTATGCCAAGCGTGCCTTTGTTCACTGGTACGTGGGTGAGGGGATGGAGGAAGGAGAGTTTTCAGAGGCCCGTGAGGACATGGCTGCCCTTGAGAAGGATTATGAGGAGGTTGGTGTGGATTCTGTTGAAGGAGAAGGCGAGGAAGAAGGTGAGGAATACTAAAGTTAAAATGTCACGAAGGTGCTGCTTTTACAGGGAAGCTTATTCTGTTTTAAACATGAAAAGTTGTGGTCTGATCAGTTAATTTGTATGTAGCAGTGTATGCTCTTATATACAATTACTGACCTATGCTCTAAAACATGAATGCTTTGTTACAGACCCAAGCTGTCCATTTCTGTGATGGGTTTCGAATAAAGTATTCCCTGTCTTAAAAAAAAAAAAATTGATCTCTAGATAGACAGATAGACAGACAGACAGACAGACAGATAGACAGACAGATCTACCTATCTGTGTCAGTCTGTCTATACCTATATCTATCTATCCACTTACAACCTGTTCATTTTGTTTCTCTGAAGAACCCTAACTATGATACCAGCTAAACCACTGTTCAATAATAATGAAAAGATAAGAAACTTTCATTGATAAAAATGGAGAGAATTTGCCATCAGCAAACTCTCAGTAAAGTAAATTTTATTTTATTTTGAGACAGGATCTCACTCTTACTCAGGCTAGAATGCCGTGGCATGATTGTGGCTCACTGTGGCCTTGACCTCCCAATGAGCCTTCTGCCTCAGCCCCTTGAGTAGCTGGGACTACAAGGGTGTGCCACCATGCCAGCTAATTTTTTTTTTTTGTAGCGACAGTTTCACTATGTTGCCCAGGCTGGTCTCAAACTCCTGGGCTCAAGCGATCCTCCTGCCTCAGTCTACCAAAGTGCTAGGATTATAGGTGTGAGCCCCTGTGCCCAATCTAAAGTAAGTTTCCAAGGAGGTGTTTTCAGGAAGAAGACAACTGCATGCAGAAGGAATGAATGATCGGAAATAAGGAAGTGAGCAAAGAAATTAAAACATCTGGCTAATCTAACAAACATTAATGGAACAGAAGACTAATAATACAATAATTATTCATTTATTTTAAAATTAATAATCATGCAGATATCTGGGCATTAACAAAACAAGGTGAAGCCAAATACTTGCTTTAACAATAAACTGGCTGGGTGCAGTGGCTCATGCCTGTAATTCCAGCACTTTGGGAGACCGAGGTGGGAGGATCACTTGAGCCCAGCAGTTCCAGACCAGCCTGGGCTACATGACAAGACCCCATCTCTACAAAAAAATTTAAAAATTAGCTGGGCATGGTGATGCGTCCCTGTAGTCCTAGCTACTTGGGAGGCTGCAGCATGAGAATCACTTGAGCCCAGGAGGCTGAGGCTTCAGTGAGCCAGGATTGTGCCACTGCACTCCAGCCTGGGAGACATAGTAACACCTTGTCTAAAAATAAATAAATAAATTAAATAATACAGAGAGGTTTTAATATAGCTTTCTCATTAATTGTTAATTTAAGCAGACAAAAATGAGGATTTTAAAGATTTAAATAATGTCAATGATAACCTTAATTTAATAGACACATCTATAGCATAATATATACATAAAATGTTGTACTCGGCCGGGTGCGGTGGCTCACGCCTGTAATCGCAGCACGTGGGAGGCCGAGGCGGGTGGATCAGAAGGTCAAGAGATCGAGATCATCCTGGTCAAAGTGGTGAAACCCTGTCTCTACTAAAAATACAAAAAAAAATTAGCTGGACATGGTGGCGCATGCCTGTAATCCCAGCTACTCAGGAGGCTGAGGCAGGAGAATTGCCTGAACCCAGGAGGCGGAGGTTGCGGTGAGCCGAGATCGTGCCATTGCACTCCAGCCTGGGTGACAAGAGCGAAACTCCATCTCAAAAAAAAAAAAAAAAGTTGTACTCAGCAATAATGACATTGGGCGCGGTGGCTTACGCCTGTAATCCCAGCAGTTAGGGAGGCCGAGGCGGGCAGATCAGCCAAGGTCAGGAGTTTGAGACCAGCCTGGCCACTATGGTGAAACCCTGTCTCTACTAAAAATATAAAATTAGCCAGACATGGTGGTGGGTGCCTGTAATCTCAGCTACTCGGGAGGCTGAGGCATGAGTCACTTGAACCCGGGAGGCAGAAGTTGCAGTGAGTTGAGATTGTGCCGTTGCATTCCAGCCTAGACAAAAAGAGCAAAACTCCATCTTAAAAACGAAAACAGAAACAATAATAAATGTACATTTTCAAGCACAAATAGAACATTTATAGAAATTGACCATATTTCAAGTCTAATTTTAATACATTATAAAGAATTAGCATAATACAAACCTCATTCTCTGACAACATGTAGTAAAGGCAGAAATTTGTAACAAAGAGCTTGTAAATAATCCTGTCTGCTTTGATAAAAATTGAACCACTTCTAAATTCCTCGTGGATCAAAGAAAAAATAACAAAAATTAGAAATACCTAGAAGCAAATAATAATAAATATTATCATCAAAACGTGTAAGAGGTCTCCAGAGAGGGACGTCCCAGGATTGACTCCTCAAAGTGAAAGTCTCAGAGTCCAGGAGCTCAGTGGAGTGGCTCACAACAGCGAATCCCAACAGTAATTCCACCTCCAGTGGCTCCAATAGGCTCTCTCCCTATCCTTCCCCACAGTGGTACTTGCTGGGTCACAGCAGTCAGTCTGCTCCTTACTGGGGTGCTAATGATTGGCTTCAGAAAGGCGTCCAGAAATCCTGGACTGGCAGAACCTCAGTGTGGTTGTCGGTATGGAGCTTGGGCCTCAGGTTTGCAGTTGAACTTGTAGTTGCAACCTAATTTGACCAGGCTCTCGAGGCAGCCCTAATTAGACTCTTGAAGACTGATAGATAATAAGACAGAATGCCCTTCAGGTTACCTGGGAAACTAAGAGCCATCAGAAGGTTGCTTAGTGAAGCTGCAATCACAGCAGATGGAATTGAAGGCTCTTAAGGGGATTTTCTCAGGTCATAGAAAATTATTATGAGTGATTCTTGTTCCAAAGTATCGTCCCCCCTCTAGAGGGCAAAATTGCACATCCACCAAACTGAGACCCTCAGTGACTCCTTGCTCATCTCTAGCAGGTCCCTGAGTCCTGTCGCTCAGTCTCCTGGACCTACGCACCTGTTGTCACTACCAGTGTCTTGGCTCTGTGATCCGCTATGTGTGTCCAAATGTCAGTCCACAACTTGAGGAGTAGAGGATTTGTGACCTTATTCTTTTACAGATACAACTTGATTTCTATTTTGTGTCCTGTCCTGCTGGGCAACAGAAAGGTAATGACTCAACTATAAATCCCTCCAATATTTCCCCCATGTTGTCCCTAAATTCTGCAGTGGCTTTCGGAGTGCCACAGCATTGGAGATGGGGATAGGTTTTAGGCTCTCCACATCATCTTGACTACATGTGAGTATGGAACATTCTGGTTTCCTGCTGCCTCGGAGTCCCATGCAGCATCAAACACATTCGTTCCCCTCTCTGACACAGACGAGGCATGCTGCCCATGTGCCTGGACATGGGATGCACCAGAGCAGCCATCAGTTGGTCACTGCTCCCACTGCCTGGTGCTTTCCAATGGTCTCAATTCAGGCCATGGAGAAAATCTTTTACCATCAAATGCAAGCTGTCATTGAACTTAAGTCATAAAGGATGTATTGGGGGAAATTCTTGTTTGAAGAATAATTTCTTCTTCAGTTTGAAGAAGTCACTTTGGTTGTTCCTTTGCATAAACATGTCTCTGGGTCACTTCTGCTGACTCCAATCCCACCCAGTGCCTGCTGATTCTAGTTTCGTTTTCATGGGCTGATGTTATATTCAAGTGACCTATCTTCAGGTTCCAGGAGTATCACCATCCCAGAACAAAAGTTGGGGGGTCCTTGGAGAAACTGGAGGTAAGCACTTTTCTGTTTTAAAAATCTTGGGGCAAGATAAACCATAAAGCCCATCCCTCAGGCAGGAACCTACCTGCAGAGCAGCTAAGGTATCTAAGGACATTTGTCACCTAGCCCTGTGTTGGTGACTGGTTCTGAGTGTGCCTTCTTTCCTTGCTTATCCTTGTTTTTCAGCAGAGTTCCTATTGGAAATGTCAGCCTGTCTCCATGGTGCTAAGAAAAGTAAGGAAAGAAAGTTTTCTCCATAAGCACCAATGGGAATTCTATTAATATAAGATAGAAAACTAAATCAGAACCTCAAAATCAGACCCTCATTATGGAAAATTTCAAATGTAAACCAAAATAGTAGTGTGTTCTATCTAGATCCAGCAGTCCTCGTGGGTGAGACCTAATTTAATTAGATTTATTTTAAAATTTTAAATGCATATTTTAGGCTGGGCACAGTGGCTCATGCCTGTAATCTCAGAACTTTGGGAGGCCAAGGTGGGAGGATTGCTTGAAGCCAGGAGTTTCAAAACAAGACCCCAGTCTCTATAAAAAATTAATTTAAAAAAATTTAGCTAGGCATAGTGGCAGTAGCTGTAGTACCAGATACTGGGCAAGCTGAGGCAGAGGGTCCCTTGAGCCCAGGATTTTGAGGTGGCAGAGAGCCCCGATTGTGCTGTCACAGGATCCTTCACAGTGAGCCCTGATCCCGCTGTCACAGGATCCTTCGAAGTGAGCCCTGATCCCGCTGTCACAGGATCCTTCGCAGTGAGTCCCGATCCCGCTGTCACAGGATCCTTCGCAGTGAGCCCCGATCCCGCTGTCACAGGATCCTTCGAAGTGAGCCCCAATCGCGCTGTCACAGGATCCTTCACAGTGAGCCCCGATCATGCCGTCTGTCACAGGACCCTTCGAAGTGAGCCCTGATGGCACTGTCACTGGATCTTTCGCAGTGAGCCCTCATCACGCTGTCACAGGATCTTTCAGTGTTGACTTTGGTACTGCTTCACTGGTCAGAAACTTTTGGGGCCAGCAGCACCTCTGCTTGAGTTTTGCTTGTGCCTGCTGAGCTCATTCCACCCACTCAGCTCATGCTACCAGCCCAGATCCCCTGCCTCGCACTAGCACAGGTGCCAGCTCTGTGTGAGGCTGCAGCTGGACCAGAGGTACTGCAAGCAGCTTCCACTGCAGGCATCTGCAATGGGAGGAGGGGAATGCATTGGGCCCAAAAGCTCAGAGATGCCAGGAACCATAGAGCCCCAAAGGATGTTACAGTATGTCACAGTCCTGGCTTGGGGAGGCCCGAAGCTTTTCTCTCCTTCTCATCAACTGCAGCGTGGCAAGTGGAGTGGGGGTGTTTTGGAGGAGCATTTCAGCCTATTTGTGTCATAGCTCTTTTGGTCCCATTGCCCAGCTCTGGCCTATGGCTCCTGTGCTGGCCTGGCCCTGCCTCCTGTCGCTGCTGACAGTGGGTGGGAGGGCTATAGTGCTACAGCTCTGGCTTAGGGAATCCCAAGGTCTGGGCCTCCAAAGGGTTACCACTCTTCACTCCCACAGTCCGGAAGTGTATCATTGCCCACAGCTTGGTGAGCTGGCCAGGAAAGTGTTACAGCTCCTTTTGCTCCCACTGTGTGGTGGGTCCCAAGTTCTTGCCCTGTGTTCAGGAAGAATAAGGCTACTTGGACAACTGGAGGGTGAGCTAGAAAGAGATAAGATTTATTGGGCAACTAAACCGCTCTCAGCAGAGAGGAAACCCAAAGTAGGCGGCTCCTATCCACAGGCAGGTAATCCCAAGTGTGTGAGTCTGGCTGAGTCCAGGGATTTTTATGGGCTCCGAATGGAAGAAGTGCGTGCTGATTGGTCCATGGGTGGGCTTGGAAAAAGCACCACTTGACTGGCCAAAAGGCATCAAGGAAATTTTTTCACTTCGGGTAGCAGACTTCACTGGGAACTGGCAGCCTGGCCCCCAGGCTTCAGTCCATCTTGCCTTGAAGGTGGGGTTTCATCTGGGACCCATCCCTTCCTGTCTAGAAACCTGCCTGCCTCCTGCCGCCATCAGCACCATTGCACTCCAGCCTGGGCAACAGAGTGAGAGCCGCATCTCTTAAATATAAAAACCAATAAAAAATGTATGTTTTAAAAATAAATGCCAAATTCACAGAATTCACACAATACAATATTCCATAGGAATGAAAAGGTAAGCATGAAAATTCTCTCTCTTGTTTAGCCACCAAAACTCCACTCACCGGGGGAAGCCCACGTTTGGTGTTTCTTACATATTCTTCCATAGAGCATTTGTACGTGTGACTAGGGCATATTTTCTCCTGCCTTTTTTGTAAACACAAATGACAGCGTAGCATATGCATCCTGTTTTTTTCTACCTAATTTAATTTTGTAGTCTCCAGATTCCTTTAATGGTGTCATAGGGGTGAGTTTTCCAGCTGAAATTCGTAGTGACATTAATGGGAAGGGGAACATTACCACAAAACCCAATAGGAAAAAGGGAAGGAAACATGGGAATAGAGGGCACCCAGATTTGAACCAGGGACCACTTGGTCTGCAGCCAAATGATCTACCCCTCAGCTATGCCCGCTGGCCTAAGGGACCGTCCTCCTTAGCATATTTCACCTGTGTAGCCACAGCCAAGACACTACATTCACGATAATACCTAATGGTTTTGAACACTTATAATGTTCTAAATAAATTGTAAGAATGTCATATAGATAATTTTAAAAGTTATTTGTGGTAGTACTATCACCACTACCACTACCATCATCAATGACAGTGACATATGGAATTGAAGCAACTTGGGCCAAATCAATGTTAAGTGACAGAATCAAAACCACAATGAGACACCATCTCACACCAATCAGAATAGTTATTATTAAAAAGTCAAAGAATAACATGCTGGAGAGGTTGCAGAGAAAAGGAACCCTTGTACACTGTTAGTGGGAGTGTAAATTAGTTCGACCATTGTGGAATGAAGTATGGTGATTCCTCAAAGAGCCAAAGCAGAACGACCGCTTGATCCCATTACTGAGAGTAAAGTATTCTACCATAGAGACACATACATGCACACAAATGATGATTGTAGCACTGCTCACAATAGCAAAGACATGGAAACAACCTAAATGCCTATCAGTGATAGAGTGGATAAAGAAAATGTGGTACATACACACCATGGAATATTATGCAGCCATAAAAAGAATGATATGTCTTTTGCAGGAACATGGATGGAGCTGGAGGCATCATCCTTAGCAAGCTAAGGCAGGAACATTAAACAAATACTGCACGTTCTCACTTAAAGTAGGGGCTAAATGATAAGAACTTATGAATACAAAGAAGAAATAACAACAGACACTGGGGTCTACCTGAGGCGGAGAGGGTGGGAGGAGGGAGAGGAGCAGAAAAGATCACTACTGGGTACTGAGTTTAACATGGGGGTGATGCAGTAATACGTACAACAGACCCCTGTGAAGTGTGTTTGTGTATGTAACAAACCTTCACATGTACACCCAAACCTAAAATTAAAAAAAAAAATCCTTGAAAAATAAAAAGAAATCACCTGTAGTCTCAGGTCCTCTGGAGACTGAGGTGGGAGGACTGCTTGAGTCCAGGTGGTCGAGGCTGCAGCGAACCATGATCATGCTGTGACGCTCCTGTCTAGGCAACAGAGCAAGACCCTGCCTGGAAAAAAAAAAAAGACCATGACTCCAAAGTTTTTATTTCCGCTCCAGAATCTCAATCTCACACCTCAGGAGGAGCAGGGAATACCCTGCTTTGACTTTCTTCTCCTTCCTGTGCACCTTCCCACCAGCCAGTGGAGATGAACCTTTCTGAGGAAAACATCCTGCAGAATAATGAGTCGGTAAGCTGGTGATTCATGAAGCTGAAGAACTACAAGGCCATCATTAAAAAGTGAACACAAATCTGTTATTGAGGACAATCCCCTTTCAGGTCTGTAGTCCCAGCATCTAATTAATGGAACTAAAGCTTTTGGAAGTTCATTCTTTTTTCTTATTTTTTTTGAGACGGAGTTTCACTCCTGTTTCCCAGGCTGGAGTGCAATGATGAGGCTCACCGCAACCTCTGCCTTCCAGATTCAAGCAATTCTCCTGCCTCGGCCTCCTGATTAGCTAGGATGACTGGCATGCACCACCACACCTGGCTAATTTGGTGTTTTGAGTAGAGATGGGGTTTCTCCATATTGGTCAGGCTGGTCTCGAACTCCCAACCTCAGATGATCCACTAACCTCACCCTCCCAAAGTGCTGGGATTACAGGCGTGAGACCCGTGCCCGGCCGGAAGTTCATTTTATAAAAGGTGAAACCGTTGGCATCATTGTGAATGCTGGTGTACTCGGTTTAAAAGTGCAGTATTGAAGGTAGAACTCTGTGCAGCAACAATACAAGGGTGCAATTTCGGGAGTACAGCGCTGTGATAAGAACAATGTTCTTTTAGTAAATGCTAAGACGATTCAGCAGGATGTAGTTGGAACCAGATGTGGTGTACACACAAGTCACAAATCCATCCAGACAGGCTGGGATCGTCTACCAATTCAGATAAAGCGTGAGGGTTTTTTTTTTTTTTTTTTTTTTTACGTCATGTATATGAAAACAAACTAAATTATTTTGTGACAGAGCTGGTTTAGTATAATAAAATATTTTGTTATGGTAGTATGCACTTTCTACAAGCGTTTTTGAAAATTGCTAGTGAATAGAATAGCTATTCAGTATTTTGTCTACCAAAATACTAAAACTAAATACTAAAACAAAATTGTTAGTCAAAAAATAAAAATTTCCAAAAAGCATATAATTTAGCATCCCAGTGTCCTCTCCAGATCATCCATGCTTGAACAATACAGGTGGCTGGGAACCTGACTGTGGCTCCAGGAGTGCAGGTGCGTGAGATGGGCGGCACCACCAAAGCCAGGAAACCCGCGGGGCTTTACTACACCTTTCTCCAAGCCAAGAGCCCTGGCTGACCCCCGTGTGGGTCACAATAAATGTGGGATGGGAAACTCCATCAACCACTCTTTGGGAGTGTGAGGGTAAAGGAAGCCCCATATTACAGCTCCAGAAGGTCTGCAGGATGACCTCTAAAAGTCACAGTACAGGGGGCACCCGGATTTGAACCAGGGACCTCTTGATCTGCAGTCAAATGCTCTACCCCTGAGCTATACCCCCGCCCATTGGAGTGGAGCGTGATTCACACCTTTGTAGTCACCACATGCAGCCTGGCTACAGCGCTGCGGAGTCCAGACTTTGGGCGGTGCTTTTCACCGGCGCCCAGTTCCGGCCTTTGCGCTCTTCCCATCATACTCCAACGCACTTCCTTCCCCGAGTTCGGGAGATCGATTGCCTTGGTCACTGTCTTTGTCCACAGCAGAAGTTCAGGAACCCTCTCATTACCTAGACAAGAAAGCGCAGGCCACCCGGAGCCCCGCCGAGCTCTGGGGGTGCCAGCCCCGGCCCACCGCGTTTACTCCGTGGGCCGTCTTCACCTCGAACCTTTTCTTTATCCGTCCCTTTCGGGCGCTTTCCCTCTTTGCTTTCCTCATCTTTATTCTCCATCTCTGTCCTCTTCCCACGATCTCTGACGTCATCAGGGCCCTCCCCCACACCCATTCTCCTCTCCGCAAACCACGAAGACCTTCCAAGGCCTTTATCTGATGATGGTACATGGTCTTTTTCAACTAACTTCTTATCTGCGATGAAAGCAGAGGGCCTGGGGCAGTGAAGAAGAGGTAGACCATTTATTTGCTAAAATAAAATAGGAGAGGGAGGCCAAGAGAACCAAATAGTGACAGCAGCGGGAGAGAGCCTGCCCCACTAAACATCAGCGTCTGCCAGGACACAAGCAGGGGCTCGGCGCGGGGACCGAACACCTGGAACGCGGACCTGGGGGCACCCCACAGTGCGTGCACGAATTGAATGAAAGAGAAGCTCACGTTTACAGGGCAGCGATGTTCACAACGACTCCGTAAAGCAGGCGCTATGATTGCGGTCCCAACTTTACAGATGAGAAAGCGGAGGCACGGAGACGTTAAATAAGCTACCCAACGTCAAATGCTTGGTAAGTGGAAATGCAGGGTCAAGTGGTCTGGCGCCAAAGTCCGAACACTCAACCCACACGTCACAGATTCATAGGGGAAAGGAAGAGTTCTTTACAGACGTTCTACTGGGAGACCTAGTTGGCCATTTGGGAAAAATAAGTGGCAACTAAACTTCATGTTATAGACCAAAATAAAGTCCAGGTGGATTAAATTATTACATATAAAATATCAAACATAAATAAAAGCATAAGAAAGTATAAATTACATCTAACTGATGTCTGGACTTTCTAATACACACTGGAACAAATCCCAACAGAAAATACCAATAGATTCGGCTACATACCCTTAAAGGTTAGGTTCAGGTACATAAACAAAATGCAGAAAGTAAAAGGCTCCTCTTCAAAGTTCCCCTTCTTGTTAAAGAATAATAATAATAAATGTTACAAATAATAGTCTCTTTTAAAGACTAACTTTCTTCAAGGCCTTCAAGACTTTTTACTAGTAAGTCTTTGTTAAGCCCTATTCTATGTAACTGTTAGATATAAAAGAACAAGTACATTCTATGTTCTTGTACTTTAACCAAGATATTTATGTTATTACTTTTCTAAGTCCGTTCGCAAGCAGCTTCCTCTCCCTTCCTTATTTAAACTTCCTCTTTTCCTTTATTAGTCATTGCCTTTATCTATTCAGAAAAGTTTTAAGTTGTTAGCCAATCAAGTTTAGATTATGAGGTCCAGCTTCAACCAACAGAGGTCAGACACAGCAGTAGATCCAATTCATAAAGAATAAATATGTCTGCCGAGGCGGGCAGATCACCCGAGGTCAGGAGTTCGAGACCAGCCTGACCAGTATAGTGAAACCTCATCTTTACTAAAAATACAAAAAATTATTTGGGTGTGGTGGTGCATGCCTGTAATCTCAACTACTCAGGAGGCTGAGGCAGGAGAATCACTTGAACCCTCGAGGCAGAGTCTGCAGTAAGCCAAGATTTCGCCACTGCACTCCAGCCTGGGCAAGAAGAGCAAAACTCTGTCTCAAAAAAAATAAAATTAAATTAAAAATAAATATGCTTGCCTTTCTTTTGTTCATTGTGTTTTTGTGGCAAGATTGCTGACAGACAGCACCCTTTTTGCAGAAAGTAAAATTGCCTTGCTGAGAAACTTTTTGTCTGAATGCAGTACCTAGGAACAAGCATTCGATCTCCAACACAAAACCAAAAGGTTAACACCGAGTTGGGAAAATATTTATATCATGTATGACAGTCAAAATATTACAAATTAATGTCCGTCCCACATATATTAGCAAAGGCCATCAAAAGACAATTCACAAAAGGAAATAGTAGTTGGTAGACAAGGATAAATATTATCTCAGTAAGTCAAAATAAATCTTAGTAAAACCAAAGATGTACAAATGAAAACAAAGCCATTTAACATTTTTCCTGTATTGAAATGGACAAAAATTAAAATAGAATCCTCATACTGGCAAGGGTATGGTAAGACCAGTACTATTTTAGGCCTGCAAACTGGTACAATTTTTTATTTTTATTTTTATTTTTTTTTTGAGATGGTGTCTTGCTCTGTTGCCCACACTGGAGTGCAGCAATCTTGGCTCACTGCAACCTCCACCATCTGGGTTGCAGTGAGCTGAGATTCTCAGCCTCAGCCTCCCCAAGTAGCTAGGATTACAGGTGCTTGCTACCACATCTGGCGATTTTTTTGTATTTTAGTAGAAAAATTATTTCACCATGTTGGCCGGGCTGGTCTCCAACTCCTGACCTCAAGCAAACAATCCACCCATCTCAGCCTCCAAAAGTCCTGGGATTACAGGCCTGAGCCACCGCACCTGGCCTTGGTACAGTCTTTCTCGAGAGGAAATGCAGTATAAAATAAGAGAAAAGTTAAAACAATTCCCTTTGACCTAGTAGTAATTTTATTTTTATGAACCCAGCCCAATATATGAAATATGGACAACGTTGGCTCAAAGATATTTAAGTGCTCTTAAGTGTTATTTAAAAATTTAAGCAAATAGATAGCAGGACGCAGTGGCTCACACCTGTAATCCCAGCACTTTGGGAGGCTGAGGGGGGTAGATCACCTAAGGTCAGGAATTTGAGACCAGCCTGACCAATATGTTGAATCCCTGTCTCTACTAAAAATACAAAAATTAGCTGGCCTGTGGTGGTGTGTGCCTGTAATCCCAGCTACTCAGGAGGCTGAGGCAGGAGAATCGCTTGAACCCAGGAGGTGGAGGTTGCAGTGAGCCAAGATCACACCACAGCACTGTAGCCTGGGCCAGAGTGAGACCCTGTCTAAAAAAAAAAAAGAAAGAAAAAAAAATGAAATGCCTAATATTAAAGAGGTAGTTCAGAAACTATGGCATATCTGCATGATAGAAAACGATGCAGCTCTTTAAAATGTTTGATATAACTCACAAGAAAATGTGAATTACACGTTAAGTCAGTGATTCTGAATTCTGACTCTACCTAAGAATTGCCTGGGGAGTTGTAAAACTACTAATGCAGGTAGGAGGGGGCAGGTCAGGTGAATCAGAATATCTAGGGTGATATCAGATACTGAGAGCTTGCACTGTCAGGGGATTCCTGTGTGCAGCCATGGTTGGGAATCACGATGTTAAATGAGAGGGGGAATTATCTCAAAGGTAAAAATAAATAGAGTCAACCAAACAAAAAGCCAAACGGAAATATTTTGAACAAATAAGAGTTCTATGGTGAGATTGTTGGTGACTACTTCTTCTTTATACTTTTTTGTATTTTCAGTAATTGTTCTATTTTCCGAAACCACTACAAAATTATTATTGTTATTATTATTTGAGACAGATTCTCGCTCTGCTGCCAGGCTGGAGTGCAGTGGCGCAATCTCAGCTCACTGCAATCTCCCCCTCCTGGGTTCAAGTGATTCTCCTGCCTCAACCTCCCGAGTAGCTGGGATTACAGGTGTGTGCCACCATGTCCAGCTAATTTTTTCAAAATTTATTTTTAGTAGAGATGGGGTTTCTCCATGTTGGCCAGGATGGTCTCAATCACCTGACCTCATGACCTACCTGTCTTGGTCTCCCAAAGTGCTGATCCACTGCACCCAGCTGAAATTATTTTTTAAGTTTAAGAGCCCCCAGAAGCACCTCAATTCAAACTGGAAGCTCTTAATCGATAGTTAAATGTCATATATAGGTCCATAGCCCCTTCTTGTGCCCTCCCTCCCATTCAAGCCACTCCTAGGACTCAGTCAAATAAGGATCAGCACATGGAACAGGCGCAGGTCCTTTCCATGGCCTTCCAGGAAGCCACCTACCTGTCAGTTTCCTGGATCATCCACCCCAGTGCATCTCAGTTCCATGAGGATGCCCTTCACTTGCACGGTTTGTTCCAGGGCACCCATGTGAAGACTAAAACATGGATACGGAGGTTATGGGTGATTTTAGAATGTTTTTCTTTATATTCCTCTATATTCACATTTTCTGCAATAAAATGTATCAGTTTGAAAATCAGAAAAACCCATATTACAAATGTAAGCATATCTCTTCTAGTAATTACAAGCAATATCATTTCCTTTTGACATAATTAATACATAATTGCTTAATTAAGACAAAAAAAACGAATCCCAAGGAATGCTAATTTGGGAAATAAGTGCTTTATAATTTACACACAATGTACTCAGTCAAGTTGTTTTTTTTTTTTTTTTTTTTGAACCAAGGCTTGCTCTGTTGCTCAGGAGGGCAGTGGCACAAACATGGCTCACCGTAACCTCAAACTCCTGCCCTTAAGCGATCCTCCTATCTCAGCCTCCCAAGTAGCTAGGACTAATTTTTTGTTTTGTTTTGTTTTTTAGAGACAAGGTCTTGCTCTGTTGACCAGGCTGGTCTTGAACTCCTGGGCTCAAGCAGTCCTCCTGCCTCAGTATCCTAAAGTACTAGAATTACAAGTATGAGCCACCATGCCTAGCCTCATTTATGCTTTTATAGGAATATTTCCATTTTGCATAGGAGGACACAGCCTCAGAAAATTTCCAAGGAATTCAATTACAAGACCTCTCTGTCCAAGTCCAGGGCTTTTCCCACAATACTGCACTTCTTCCATCTTTTATAGTAACGGTTGGATAACTGGAGGAACAGAGAGTTATCACTGGGATCTGACAATTACCACCTCATTCCCAGTCCTGCCTTCTCCATGTGAGGATGGGTGAATCTGAGCTAGGAATAGTGGCTCACGTGTGCTAAGTGTTTATGTTGAGGCTCATATACACTATCCCACAGAATCCTCATAGCTCTCTGAGGCAGGTGCAATTGTTATACCCTAGGAAGTAATTAAGATTGGCTCCATTTTATACCTGAAGAAACAGATTCAGGGGGACTAAGTGACTCATCCAGTCATTCAACAAATACACTATGTTCCAGGGTCTAGTCTACACACTGAGGACTCAGCAGTGAATGAGGCAAAGTATCAAGGCCCTGCCTCCAAGGGGCTACATTCCCAGAGGTGCAGGGTGACAGTCAAGCAAAATAAGGAATGAATGAAATCATCACAGATATTAAAAACACTACAGGAAAATAAAGCAGGGTATTCTGATGGAAGACAGGAGGGATGGTCAGGAAACAATGATTGGAGTGGAAATCTGAATGGTAAGAAACCAGTGAATAAAAATCTGGATGCCTGTGGGTGCTCACACCTGCAATCCCAGCCCTGTGGGAGGCTGAGGTGGGCAGATCACTTGAGCACAGGAGTTCAAAATCAGCCTGGGTAACGTGACGAAACCTCATCTGTACAAAAGATTAAAAAAAAAATTATCCAGGCATGGTGTCATGCACCTATAGTCTCAGCTACTGTGGAGGCTGAGGCTGGAGGATCAGTTGAGCCTGGGGAGTTGAGGCTGCGGTGAGCTATGATCGTGCCACTACACTTCATTCTAGGTGACAGAATCAGATCCTGTTTCAAAAAATAAGGAGATAAAAATAACTAAAATTCTGGATGCAGAGGATCTCAGGCCTTGGATAGAATGACCCACTTGGAGTAGCTTAGCAGGATGAAGCAAGAACAAGGCCAGCAGAGGGGGCAGAGCAGGACAGCGATTCCACTTGGAGGTGAGGGAGGTGGGGTAGGGTCAGGTCATGGAGGGCCCCATGAGCCGGGTCAGGAGATGGCATTTGTTTCCTGTGCCATCTCGGGGAGAGTGGAGTCTGAATTTGGATCTCCCTCCCACGGGCAGGGGCACGTCTCTGAGAACTTCATGAGAGACTCTGTAGTGGGCTTGGTACAGGTCTTCGTCATCGCGGGTCTGTCCTGTGGACACGGGCTTCCTGGGTCAGTTTGTAAGCCCCTTTGGCCATGCATTTAAGGTTATTGTTCATCCAGTCGACCTGGTTTCTGCCCTTGAGGAGCACAGATGAGTGGAGGAGGCACACATGAACATCCATGGTCGCGCGGTGTCACTTGAATGATAACGTCTTAAGTGCTGTGAGCCCAGAAAGGGAAGCGGAGAGTAGGCAGCACAGTTACCCTAAGCTGGAGTGTTCCAGAAGGCTTAGTTACCCTGAGCTGGGGAGTTCCAGAGGCCTTAGTTACCCTAAGCTGGGGAGTTCCAGAGGCCTTAGTTACCCTAAGCTGGGGAGTTCCAGAGGGACTCTGAGGGAGTGATGTTCCCACAGCACCGCGCAGGAGGAAGGAAAGTTAGCTGGGAGATGAGTGGCACGGGAAGCTGGACAGCATGGGTGAAGCCTGAGGCAGTGAGTGCCAAGAGCAGAGAGTTCAGGGTGCTGGAGTCTGGGAGGCAGCCTGTGTGGACTGAGTAGGGTCTCCCCAAAGTTCATGTCCTTCCAAGAACCTCAGAAGGTGATCTTATTTGGAAATAGGGTCATCGCATTAAAACGAGGTCATCCTGGAGCAGGCTGGGCCGTCGGTCCAATATGACTGCTAACCCTCATCAGAAGAGAAGAGACACAGGGAGCAGGCCAAGTGATGCAGCCACGCTGCATCCACTGTGAAGCCAGGAGAGGGGCATGGGACAGTGGCTTGGGACGAGTGTCCCTCAGAGCCTCCGCTAAGAACTGAGCCAGACCACACCTTGATCTTGGCCCTCTGGCCTCCAGAACTGTGAGAATCCATTTCTGTTGTTTAAAGCCACCCAGTCTGTGGCTCTTTGTTCCAGGAACCCAGGACAGGGCCAAGGAGGCAGTCTGAGGAGATTTTGGACTTTAAGAGCAGTGGGGAACCGCCCAAGCAAGAGAAGACCATGATCAAATTTACTTTTTCAAAATATCCCCAGGCTGCCAAGTGCTCCCACAGCCCTCCAACCTGTTAGGAGTGAGGCCCCACAATAGGGCACGCAGCACGCACACGGAGGCACGCGACCCTCAAATGCACCCGAGCTTGCAGCCTTCCCGCCGGCCCACGGAGCGGGGCCTCCCTGCCTGCTCCCCACACAGAACCAGGGAGACGGCCGACCTTCGAGAGAATCGTCTGGCCCCGTTGCCCCCAACGCCTTAGAAAACGCCCGTGCCCTTGAGCCAGGCAGTTCCGCTCTAGGAGGTTAGTCTTTACACGGCATTTGTTTGTTTCCTTTATTCGGGGGCCACCGCAGGCGGGGCTAAAGAATTTAGTCTTCGGAAATATCTAGGCAGACATTTGAAAATATAACAAGGAAAAAACTATCATCAGAGGGCGCCTCCAGGCCCATATCCGCATCAGGAGCTGGGCCTGGGCCTCGGCTTCCTCATCTGCGCAGCGAGGAAAGTGGGTGGAATGCATGCTGCCCGGGAAGGAGCCTCACCAACCCTGAAGCTCGGGGTCAGTTCTCGGAGTCCTCTCTCCTTCTGGGACCCCACGGCCCTCCGGGCCTTCTGCGCTCTCCCGTGCCCTGGGCTGCGCCTTCGGGGTGGAACAGGTCTCATTTTTCCTGTGCTCTCAGATACCTGCGGCCGCACCTTTGTTTGCACCAACTGTGTTTGCACGGAGCTTGCCGGGCCTTGAGCCGGCTGGCCTGAGAGGGCAAGAAACCAACCTGAGAGCGGCTCCCGCTAACCAGGGCTGGCTCGGGGATGCCGCCGGGAGGCTCCTGCACTGCGGCGGAGGAAGGGCGGGGCTGGGGCGAGCGGGTCCATGGCGCTAGGCAGCCCCCACGCCACCACCGAGAAGCCCGCGCGCGTTCCTAGAGCGGCCGCCAGCGGCCAGGTGCGGGCGCCGCGGCCTCCGGGGCCTCCCCGGCTCTGGCCGGCAGGGGGCAGCGCGCGGTCTATCGCGGCCCGACGTGGCGTAGGCCGGGGAGGCAGCCGGTGGGTCGCCGGCGCGCCCTGCTGGGCACCCAGCCGCGCACTCCCAGTCTCCTGAGACGGGGATAAAACGCCCAGGCAGAGCAACGTCTAAAGGTCAAGCCATCAGAATTAATTTAATCGACAAAATGTGTATATTTAAAATATGGATAGAGACCCATAAATGTATCTTTAAAATAAAAATATAACAGTTTGTGTTAAGTCCTTGCCCCATTCGCTCGCAGTGATACTCACGGCACAGTGAGACGGACACGGTTGTGCCCCAGCCCACAGGCGCCGAATGGGGGGGCGCAGGATTTCAGGGGCTCGCGTAGGGCCTCTCCGGCGGCAGCGATGGAGCCGCGAGGCTGGCGGGGAGACCAAGGACAGGACTCGCTGAGCTCTGGGCGAGCCGGGGGTACTCGAGGGGACCTGGACACGGCTGAAGGCCTGGCTCGGGGGGGAGGGCCCCTTCCCGGGTCCTCTAGGCCCCGGCGTGCCGCTGCCGTAGGGGAGCAGGAAGGCACGGGAACGCGAGGAAGCCCGGGGTCGCCGCGCGCGGGCGCGTCTGGCGTTCATACCCAGCCAGGAAGGGCGGGCGGGCCTGGGGCGCCACGCGGCGTGCCCGGCGCTGTTCCCCGCAGTCCCGCTCGCGGCGGGTCCCTGGACTCCTTATCAGGCAGTTGGGTGACCTTGCTGCAAAGCAGGGCCGCGGAGGAGGATTTCTGCCTCACAGCAGCCACTTGCAACGGATCTGGCAGTGATCCGGGGACTCTACCGAATATTGGGGCTGAAATATCAGAAGGAATTGTAAAATCAATTTCTAAGTGACAGCTTTTAAAGGTGGTGGATCCGTTTTAACGAGGAAAAATCATCTCCATCCTAGCTGGGCAGAGATTTGGGATTGTGCCCGTGTTTCTTCCCGCACATCGTCACCTGTGGCTTGTTCATCCGTTCATTTCGCTTTCACTGAGAACCTCTTGTGCCCCAGACTCTGGAGCAAGCGCGACATGAACAAAAGTCGGCCCTGCCCTTGGGGAAAATCAAACACACAATGGCTGCTGAGTGCACGCTCAGAGCAAGCGCCAAGCTCCGGAAAGCCCGGCAGAGGGGACCCTCCAGGTTCTCGCAGTGATCCGTGTGTGGCCAGGGGCCTTGCGAAGCTGCACCTGGCACCTGTATCTTCACCGTGGAAGCGTGTGCTGTAAAAATAACATGGGGGTTGGGGTGCGGGGGACGTCCTTGTAGCTTTCTCACAGGGCTTAAGACATCTGTCCTGCTGTCTTCCTCGGCCTTCCAGTGATTCTCGGTGAGTGTCAGCTCTCTGGATTTCACTGGCAAGGTTATAGCGACTTACCATTTTCTGATAAGAAATCTGCCAAGTAATGTAGTGGTTATGGAGAATAGAAAAGCAAGCATATCCCACAAGGAAAAAAATAAACCTAAGAACTGTGTTCTATAGAAGAATTGGGCATGGAGTGTGTCACTGGCTAAATTAAACATACAGAGTTTGGATTGAGGCTAGAAAAAGTTGAAGCAAGAGAAAAGAAACCCTGACTTGCCCAGGGCAGAGAGGTTTTGGAAGTGAGCTTCCTCCTTGGAGACCCCTCAGTACAGGGGGAGTTTGGGAAGACGGGGCTGAGGAGGGGGAGCACCAGAGTGGGTAGGCTTGGCTCCTATCCAGCATCTAAGGCACGAGTTATTTTACATATTTAGCTTCTGAAAATTGTTTTATTTAAACAAGTGATTCTGGGGGCTACAAACAAAAGCTCGAAAACACCGACAGATGAAGTGCAAAAAATCTGGCTCATCATTATAAATCTGAAAAAGATTTCATGTCCTGAATCTGAAAGAGATTCTAAAATATTATTACAGACTTAGTTCTACAGAGAAGGGATGAACTCTCCCAAGTAATTTCACAGGGGTAGAGATGGTTAAAAGTCCTCATACTGGGTGGTAAATAAAATTGATTTCTTATATAGTTATGGAAGAGACTGGATACCTTCTATTGGAGAAATAAGGAACTCATTCAAGTTTTTATTGTTTAGAACATAGAAATTCCTTCTATAATCAGAAAAAAATGCTATTTGCATTTGCGGTGAAGAGTTTTAAATAAGATTCTGGAATTCTGTTTTGTGATTATTACATACTAATGAGAGATAATCTTTTTGGTAAAATGAACACCCAAGCATATTTGTATGCAATTAATGTTTATTCCAAGACTCTGAAGAGCTGGCACCAATTTGGGCAAGGAAAATGTGCCTATTTCTCTCAATCTGTCTACTGTATGAATTAAATACACAGGAGATTGATTTAAAGTGGTCTGAATATTGACTTCCTTTTTAGCAACCTCTAAAACATTTGAGGTTTTCTTTTCTTTCCTCAAACCTATTTCAGAATGTATCACTGGATAAATTGACTTGGTAAGGCATTGATTAATTCAAGATAAGATAAGGAACCACTGGGTTAAAGTGGGAAAAAAATAATGCCAATTTTAGTTGGCCAGTCATTATTGTTAAGTTGTTTAGGGGGTAACTATGGGAACCAACTTAGTGTCTTTACTTTTGTGATTTATAGTGATGGAAAAGACTGGATACCTTCTCTTGGAGAAATAAGGGACTCGTTCAATTTTAAATTTTCATTGTTTAGAACATAGAAATTCCTCTACAATCAGAAAAAAATGCTATTTTCATTTGGGGGCAAAGAGTTTTAAATAATTAATGTGATTTATAGTGGTGACTATCATCCAAGTAGAAAAATACAGACATAAATTTAAGAGACGGGGTCTCACTACATTGCCCAGGCTGGTCTCAAATTCCTGGGCTCAAGTGATCCTCTTCCTTAGACCTCCCAAAGTGCTGAGATTACAGGTGTGAACCACCACATCCAGCAGAAATTTTTTGTATAGACCAGGTGTGGTGGTTCACGCCTGTAATCCCAGCACTCTGAGAGGCCTGCAGAGGAGGATCATTTGAGCCCAGGAGTTTGAGACCAGCCTAGATAACGTAGTGAGACCCTGTCTCTACTAAATATAAGAAAATTAGCCAGGCCTGGTGGCTCACGCCTGTGGTCCCAGCTACTCGGGAGGCTAAGGCAGATGGATCACTTGAATGTGGGAGGTCCAGGCTGCAGTGAGTCATGATCGTGACAATGCACTCCAGCCTGAGACAGAGCAAGACCCTGTCTCAGAAATAAATAAAAATTTTTAATCTTAAATTCTAGAATTTGTTTTTTTTTTTAAGATGGGGTTTCACCATATTGGTCAGGCTGGTCTCAAACTCCTGACCTTGTGATCTGCCGGCATTGACCTCCCAAAGTGCTGGGAATACAGGCGTAAGCCACCATGCCCAGACAAATTTTAGAATTTGTGTAAAGAATTTACCTGTAGCAAATTTGATCATGGAACCATGTAGTTCTTGGCTGGTACCTTCTGTGGGAAAATGGCAAATTTCACCTTTCATACTTGTTTATTTTTCTTAATTGAGTTTAGCTTAAATCCAAGCTATTTCAACTCTTTGAAAGCATAATTTTATTATTTGTGTACCCTGCAAATGAAGAACTGATTGTATTTAATTTTTTAAAAGGTTTTATACTTATTAGACTATACTGATTTCAAGAACAGTCTGTTGTCCTGATAATCATTCTTTAAATAAAATTATAGCAGGGATAGAAGTTTTCATTGGTACATTTTGTCATTAAAATTCAACTTTCCATTACCTAAATTAATAGACAGCAGAGATGCTCCTGTCTTATAATACTGGAGTTATTTTGAGAACCTGGATATTCTTTTACAAAGAGAAGCAGTGAGTTTCATTCAAGTGGTAGTGGCGGAGAGGGAATGGTGAGAACTTAGAGGTAACACTGAGCCAGCAGGATTAGAGTCAAGGTGTATTTTAGGTTACTGGGGAGCAGGTATATCTTCCTTATAATAATCTCCTTCATGCAACTACTCCTCTGACTGATAAACAAATGGCTTCTTAGGTCCCAACATCAGAAATAAACAGAGAAGGGTGGCCTCTTGCCATAACAGTGGTCTTCCCAAAGTCCCTAAGGTATAAAGGGCTCAGTCTAACACGGGGACTGGATTGGCATTCTAACCACCAATGTGCCTGACAACACCTCTTCTAAGCTGGTCAGGAGAACCTCAGTGTCTATCCCGATGCTGCCCTGACTCAGCTGGCCAGGCAGCCAGGGAACAGTGCTCTCAGACTCACATGTTGTGCCCGCAGATAGAGCTGCAAATCAGAGAGAAATTGTTACGTTTTGCTCTTTTTTAAGGATCCCTGTTGAAATTGGGAGGCAGTATGTGGCAGTGGTTAACAGCACACAACTGGGGTCTCCACACACTTAGGTTTAAACGCCGGCCGTGTGACCTTGGCTGCTGATTGCTGAACTTCTCTGGACGTCGCCGTTCAAGGGGACACAAGCATCAATTTCACAGAGTGTTGCAAGATAAAATGAATGGAAAGCATTTACGATCTGGGATAGTGCCTGCATCATGGTAAAACTCAAGGAGTTGTAGTGATTTTAGTTATTATCCTTAATAAACTCGTGGCTAGTTCTGACTTCTGAACAGAAGTTTTCATGGAAGGTTGCCATCAACAGTACTATGTTTAATGTTTTCTTCCCTTTCTTTCTATCCTGGTCTCTCTTTTCCCCTTTTTTCCTTTCACCTTCCTTATTATTATTATTTTTAGAAAAAAAAATCATTTAACCTTTATAGAAAACAGAAATAAAAGGGCTAGAGCCTATATTTTAACTACAATCCCTCATTTTAAGGAAATCAACTAGAAATGGTAGATGTAAAATTGACTTTTTACAAATTGTGATCTAGAAGTTGCCGCCATGACTGGGAAGCAACAAGAGGCTTCGTCAGCAGCAGTGCTTTCCAGAACGCTGGAGGAGAGGCCCTGGCCTGACTCAACGTTGCCCTGGCAA